GCAGTCAACTTGACCTTTCCAGGTTCTGAGAAAGGTGAAATTTGCCGAAATGTCAGCTTGTACATAAATAAAGAAATAAAATAACACCTCGTGTTTGCTGAATAAAAGTACAAAGAATTATTCAATCAATGCCGAGGTTAATAGAAATTCGGACGTGGAAGTCTTTGTTGTGTCAGTGCCTCAGCATCTCCGCATGCCGATGCTCCCGTTCCTCGCTCAAATGCTTCGCTCATACACATCCACCCAACTAGGTATCGTCATACTGTTAATATTGTATTGCTATTATTGCTAAAAACAAGTCCCACATGGCAAAGTTGTACAAAGTCCAACACTCCACCTACAGTTGGCGGACAGAGAACAAATCCCGCCAACTGCTATCGTATATTCCACTGGCCAACTTGCAGTACTATTTTCTAAATTCTTGAATAATGAAACGTTGAGTATCCTTCTTAAGTGAAACCTACATATAAAAACCTCTATAAAACCTCTATATGAAACCTCTATAAAAACGGCAGACATATCTATATGTCAGAGCTTCAAGAGACTACATTTATGAAATAAGCTATTAAAGATCGTTTCAAATCATACGAAAACTAAAACGAGTTTTTGATTTGCTACCTTGCATTTATCCTAGAGACTTGTACATGCCGTCTTTCGGTCATTGAAAATAGACAAGTTTTATGAACAGAATAATGCGTTCCAGATCTTTTATGGACTGCGCCCGAAATACTTCGTGATCCAACAAGCACTGGTTCTCAGGAAGGTGATATTTACAGGTAAGAATCCTTAATGATTGGCTTATTACTAAACACTGAGCGTGCGTGCTCTTTACACATTAGGAAACATCAGAAGTTTTGTTATTCTTTACTACCTGACAAACTTTGGCATAATATGTTTGAAAAACACAGGTTGCCTTCACAGTAAAACCAAGCAGCACTTTTAGTTTCGGAATCATTTGCGCTCAGATTGTCACCCGATCGTCGGCATGGAATTTGGATAATCGAAAAGAGAACGAAAATGGTAATAACTTAAGAAACCTCTACCCATTTTTCACCACAAGGTCTCATCTCTTACTATTGTTATCGTTTCTCATTGTTTTTATCATCAAGTGACTCAAATGAGCATTGGAATTCACAATCCGACCTTGTTGGAAACTAAAACTGCTCACCATTTTCACGTAAAAGGACCGTTTGTTTGATGCCAGAGTAAACAATGAGAGTTTGGGACCATTCTTGGGTAACTGGTTGGTGTTCACCACTGCTTCCCTCATTCCTACCGTCTATTTATGAATTACCTTACTTCATGTGAGAGGAAAATGAGGAAAAACGTTATTTAAACAATATAAACAGAAAACAGTCTACGAAGGCCTTAAAAGCACATGCACATCTGATTCCACTATTAGACGAAAGGCAAACGACCTGTATCCTTATGCCTTTTCTTTTCAGAGCTAATTTACATGATTAAGAAAGGCGGTTACAATGCTCCACGTCCTTCTTTAGAAGACCACAATATCATGGATATCAACCCAGAATTGGTGATCCTTTAAGCTTTTCCTTCGCTTTAATTTCTATTCCACTGCAATCAAGGCTTTGAACTACGGGACAGGATGTAGGAGTGAAAAATTACTAGCGACAAAAGATAAAAGGATAAAGCGCTCTGCGTTTACGAAATCACTGTAGGATCCACCATGCACTCGACTTCAAGAAACATCGTATGAGTTAATTAAGGTTTAGACGATCCGTACAACCACCTGCCAATGCCTATCGATATACGAAACTAATCTTATGTCCATCCAAGCAAGTTCATTTTCAATTTGCCGATCCCAAAAGATGATGGCTTGTTGAGTGGGGCGGAGGATAGAACCCGTGTTTATTTATTGCAGGACATCCCAAACCATTGCTCTGCGAGTACGTGGATTGATTAATTGCAAATAATCTCATTTGCGTCGTTTTCTTCGTCGTTTGTTCAGCAATCGCGAGGTTTTAAACAGCATACATTTACTTCCATAAAAAACACAATACAATACAACGCTAGCTGACGTTTCGGCAGTATCGCCTTCTTCCGAGCCTGGAAGGGTATACTGATATACAATCTACTGTGCCAAACGCTTCAATAACACTTACACAAAGACGAAAGACTCTTTGGTAATTACATGATCAACAACTTCTCGAAAAAACCCACCGCTTTTTTTCGTGATTCCCAATGAGGAAGTTTAGAACAGCTGATTATAGTCGCATATGGTTGACGACTGCACCATCCCACATCAAAAATCGATGTGAACATACGGGGTCAGGTCGCATATGGCCTCTGGGCATTCCTCCCTACTATTCGTTGTAAGGTTCTTGGCATTTATCCAAAAAGCCTCAAAGAGTTTTCGCGCTGGTGTTTTGGACTCCTGTGCAAGGATATTGACTTTTACTTCAAAATCGTCTCCGCTATGCTTTTGTATCCTATGCGTGCCTAGTGGGGTGCTTCGTCTTAGTTTTCGTTTGCCATCTAGGTGTTCTTTTATACGGATACACAAAGGTCTGCCCGTTTCGCCAATATATTCATCTCCGCAATTGTTACAAGAAATCAGGTATATCGTACCTGAACTCATGCAATCACCGTCCCTGCCGTAAGGGCAAATTACGCAATTTGTTGTTTCACATAGACGGTTATACAGGCGGTTGCGAACTAATTGGCGGCTTAGAGTAGCCGGTAGTATTTCAACTATCGCTACCGATTCCTCTAGACCTGCCCTTCTTAAGCATCGTTTTATAGCTACGCTTACTTCATCGCTTATAAAAGGCAACATAAACGGGACTCTCTTTTGACTAAGTGTTTCGCGTGGACGCGTCGCTCTGCTTCTAAACTTATCTCGTGGGGTTACTGTTTCGTAGCCATTGGAGATGACCATTTGCTGAGCCAAGTCGCGCGATTCTTCCTTTAGTTGCCTGGTAGTGCACGCAGAGGTGGCTGTTCGAAACATGTTTCTCACAATCGCCCTCTTTGTGTGTGAAGGGTGGGAAGGAAGGAAATGAACAAGAATGTTCTTGTTACTTGGCTTTCGATACCACTTTGTCAGGTAATCGCTACTTGATAGGTTTATTTGAACGTTCAAAAACGGAAGCCAGTTTTTTCTCGCTTTCTCCCGGGTGAACTTTATGTACTCAGATTGCTCGTTCATTAATTTAAAGCATTTGTCCATCTCCTCTTGCGTAGAGAAGACGACAAAACAATCATCTACATATCTGCAATAGAGTAGTGACTGAAGATCGAGAACTGGGGTTCCTATCTTAGATCAACCCCATTTTGACTATTATCGGAAGCGTAAGGAATTCGTTTGCGGTTGCTTCTTGAAGCTGAGACATGTGAATTAGCCAAAAGGTTTTCGAATTTTCGTTGTGAAGTTATTTTGACATTAGGTCTAACAAAATCGCGTATCAATATTGACCCACCAACTATCCTCCTCCAAAGGCGATCCTCCAAATACAAAGCACAAAAATGTTCCTTCGTTGCACACTTCATTCTGGCAAACATCTCATTCTGCTTGCTTCGTAGTGCAGCTCGAGGTAGTTCCATTTCGATGCCTCGTACTTGTTGGCTGCCCTCTGGTTGATCGCATATCTCGTGAAGTCGCTTTCGTTTTATAAACTTCGGCACGACTCGATGTTGAAAACAGCGGCGGAGGAAGTTGATTTGCTGTCTAGCTAAGACGATCTTCTGTCTTAGTGACAATGCTTCCTTCACAAGTCGAAAGTATTTTGCTGGTACATCTTGTAATAGTTGCTAGAATCGGCTTTCTATTAACCTCAGCACTGGAATATGAATGCGTCGTTTTCTTGTTCCGCAATCACGAGGTTTTTAATCTCATTTGCATTATTTATCTGACACAAGGTTGGAAATGTGAAGCAAAACACCCACAATCTCTATAGGGATTGAAAAGCGTTGCATTCCTAGACTTCCCTATCTTTGGAACTATCAGAATTATGTTGCTGAGATATTTGCAAAACTCTGGACCGCAGGTGTCTATGGTGGGGAACGAACGCGCTATTATCCTTTCCGGGGAGTAACGCGTTCACCACCACACCATGCGGGTCCTTTGTTTATAGGATAATAGCGCGTTCGTTCCCCACCATAGACACCTGCGGTCCAGAGTTTTGCAAATATCTCAGCAACATTGTGGTTGTATTTCGCTTGGTAACCTGCCATGAAAATTATAGAAGGCAGAAAACAAAACGTTAAAACATTGTGATTTCAACTACAGCCATAGCTTAACTGGGTTCTATGCCGATTTGCGCTCCCCAGATCAACCCCGCTGACGGGTGATTGCTGTGGCAAAAAAGATCGATAGAAATAGCTGAGAGACGTGCGAAACAAAGGACCCGCATGGTGTGGTGGTGAACGCGTTACTCCCCGGAAAGGATAATAGCGCGTTCGTTCCCCACCATAGACACCTGCGGTCCAGAGTTTTGCAAATATCTCAGCAACATTGTGGTTGTATTTCGCTTGGTAACCTGCAATGAAAATTATAGAAGGCAGAAAACAAAACGTTAAAATATCAGAATTATGTTTGTTGATGAGCCTGATATTAACTAGAATATAAATTACTTTGAACAAATGAGCATTCTTAACCGTGTTAGGTGCATGTAGAGCACGTTCGGAGGCGCCGTACAACACGTGGCATCGATCCCTGCGCCCGTGGTCCACCAAGCCTTCCATTCCACCGGGGTTGCCAGACTGGTAGCAGACTTGTCTGGAAGAATAGCAGCACTGGCTCGATACATCGGTAGACCACCGCGAGTCGTTGTAAAGGTCGGAATGCATTCAATCATCTTTAACCGATGCTTAATGAAGTCGAATGCATCGCGCATCCCTCAGAACTGATCAACGCCGAGAGCTTTATCTTCTCTATTTTAACCGTATTAGGTATTCAGCTCCACATGATTCGCGATAGCTGGGTAGAAAAACCATTGGAACGACCTCCAATAAAGACGGTAAAAGAGTGGATGCGGACCATGAATACCAGTAGGTGAGGATTTGTTCCTTACAGACTTTCCTAAGAACGCAGTCAGCCTGCCACCTGCAGAAATTGTCGTGCTCATCTAGCAAACCTAATAACCCACGTTTTGCAATACAAGAATGAGTATCTCTTGAGTTCTCATAAAATTCAGTCATCGTTATATTACATTATTAACGACAACCACTTCAAAATTCTTCTAAAAGACATCCCATAATAGACAGTTCCAATGAAAAGCAACTCCTCATAACTTTCTACTTTGAAAAGTAGAACTCTTCAGGTCGAAAAACCTGATGGATCATGTTTTCACAAAGCTTGAATCATATGCTCTTACACTAGAGACTGAAGTGGCCGATCGGACCAAAGAATTGCTAGAGGAGAAGAAGAAGAGTGATATTCTGCTCAGTAGGATGTTGCCAAGGTAATTCTAACATAATTATTCTCCTTGTCTATAGTTTTGTAATTAATGAAATCGTCCTGAAAATATCAGGAGCTTTTGAATTTAACCATGTATTCAAAAAATTTCTTTGCTAATTCTGTATTCTGCTTCCGAAAAAAAATGAAGAATGCTAGTTTTTTAGACATTTCATTTAGTATCCGAGCCATCTAACATTTGTTAGAAAGAGGCTCAATAAACCTGTATAGTAAGGTGTCAGCATAATCTTTGCACTACGATTAGGTGTACACGTCACATTTTTCTAGACAAATCACTGAGAAGCTGAAAATTGGACATTCTATAGAACCAGAGATGTACGAAAGCGCAACGGTATTCTTTTCTGACGTCGTCTCATTTACAACAATAGCAGCACGAGGAACGCCTATGAACGTGTGCAGAATTCCTCTTGAATTAGGAGTTCTTTGTTCTGGTTTTAACCCTTCACTACATTCTGAATGCTAATTTTATTCAAAATTATTTTTTACAATGTTTGTTTAGGTAATCAATCTTCTCAATGACCTCTACACACTATTTGACAGTATCATTGACAGACATGATGTATATAAGGTTTGGGACAGTGCGGTTTTTATTTTATGCCATTATAAAAATCTCGGCGGTTATGGACCATATATCTAGGTCGAAACAATTGGCGATGCTTATCTTTGTGTTAGCGGAGTACCTAATCGAAATGGAAATGAACATGTGAAGGAAATCTGCAGCATGTCCCTGGGATTTATGGAAAGCCTCATTGACTTCTACATTCCTCACCTGCCCGGCGAGAAGCTCAGTTTGCGCGTAGGGATACACACTGGTTAGTGTTTTTTCTTGCTTTAATTTATTATAAGCTTTTCTCAACGTAACGTTATCAGCCTTGTTTTTCAATTTCCTCCATGAAATTAGTGGTGCAGCGCAGTGTTTAGAGGCACCTTGCACTTCACATTGGGTCGATCCTCCCACATTAGACCCACTAAGCTTCTAATTCTTCCGGCTTCGCAAAATTGGTTCCATAATTATCTGGAAGGATAAATGCATTAGCTCGATAAATCGGTGGGCATTGCGAGTCATCGTGTCGGCCAGATATGAATTCATTCACCTCTAACGATGCCTAATGAAGTCGAATGCATGGGGCATCCCTTAGCGATTGGCCAACTTTTCCGCGAAATCGGCCCTAATTAAATTATATTGTCACAGTCGAGTCATATGTCTTTCAAAAATGAAGTTTAGGCGCGGTTGTCGCTGGTGTCGTTGGCCTGACGATGCCTAGATACTGCTTGTTCGGCGATACAGTCAACACCGCCAGTCGGATGGAGAGCAACGGAAAACGTCAGTTTTCTCCTGTCTCCAAAAATTCTGCTGACCAAAGGTTTTCTAAAATAAGATAAGGAGTTATCGTCGTAGGCCTATGCTTTTTTACTTTACTTTGAAACATCTAGTTGTAATCAAGTTCTATGCTAACAATCACTGTCCTCGTTTTCGTGTGAAAAATTTCAAGATCATTTTTATGACATCGTATCCACTACTTTATCTACCGCGTTGTTATTCTCAATGCCCTAGTCCTAGCCGTTAAATCTTGTTTTTTCTATCGATTATCATTCGAAGTGCTAAGGTTGCCTACAATACACACATCGTCGTTGGCTCAATCCTGTGCCTCGGACTCACTAACCTACTATTTCTGGCATGGTTACCAAATTGGTATCAGATTTTCTGCGAGAATATCAACATTGAATTGATATATCACTGTGATTCTTAAAGTCGGTTTACCGTAATTTTGTGGTCAGAGGCTGGAACAATATTCCGTTTCCTTGTTCGCAGTGGAACCGTAATTAAACGAGTGCCATATACGTTCCCTCGTGGTCGTAGCGATATCCACTTGCAACAGTAACGATTTCCTTGTGAGTGATCATAGAATAAGATTACCAAAGCTAATCCGGACAATTTAATATGGAAGCGAATTTTCCATGTTCAAATGCGTTTCTTTGTAAAATCGGTAATCTCATTGAATTCCCTCCCTTGCAAACGTCAGCTAAGTAAACGCTGTTTGCAGCTGGAATGGTACATCTATCAGCTGATGCAAATCGGTTGCTACAGGAAGTGGGAGGATATCAAACAGAACTCAGAGGAGATGTGATAATCAAGGTTTTATGCACATATAACAACTTTAATTGTATAACCACAAAGGTGCTGAGATATTAGCGAACAAAAATCTACAAATATATAAATACATAGTCTGGAACGTGTAATTCTTTACATTCAGCTCCAAATCCACAAATCCGTTTCTAGAGGAAACTTAATTAATGGGTATTGAACTTTTGAAATTGACACATTTTCGCAAGGGAAAGGGTGCCTATCTTTCTATTCTGGGTCGAATAGCAATTCTCTTACATATACTCGAATTCGTTCGACTTTCTCTATGTTGGTTGAGAGTTTTCTGTGCGTGTGGCCTGGAGATGTCTTTTAGTAGAACAGGTTCCGTCTGATTAACAGCTCCATGTTTAAGGTGACGGTTCTTGGAGAATTATGTCGTCTCCCTGGGAATACTTTTCGACTGTTATGATCTTTTCAGTATCTGAAATGTTATTGTGGACGAATCAATCTGACCCACGCGGAAAAGTCGTAACCTTTTTAAAACACAGATTTGACATCATCAAGTGTTTTGTGATTCATTTTACACAAACCCACGGAGAATGTCGTTGATTTTCTATGGAGTCTTTATTAATGGTAAATCACAATCGTATTGAGCAACAAATCGTTTTCATTGCAAAGTAACTCTGAGGAAGAGATTTAGTAATGACGATGTCATTACCATCCATCCAATGAGCACGGCAAGCATTCGTAAGGGCTTTTATAGTTTTACAGTTCCGTTAAGGTGTTCCAAAGTGGTAGCTTTGCTTTTAATCCTATATTCTCTTCACTGTTTAACCACATTTCGTTGGTCGTCTTCGTTTAATGTCATATGTCGTAGGATTAGCTTTCGCTGCACCTGCCAATATTTCACTTCGCGATTGTTCGTATACGCATTTCTAGCATTTTTATTTCACTAGCCCAAACCTGAACACTTATCACTTCAGAGGTAAATACATTGAAAGAGGGTACGAAGACAAGTTTCTTAAAATCGCTTGTGCTATAAATCATGATACTTCTTTCGAAATTGACACGTTACAGTTTAAAAAGATGAAGCCAAATTTATTTTCCAGACACTACCATGTCTATGAAAACAAGTGCTGTTTATTATTCTATGACCTTTAAACTTTATGTTCAGGGAAAAGGCGTCCTGCAAACATACTGGCTGAAATGCCGATCGGAAGATGGACTAGGGCCGTCGAGTTCGATCAACAAAGACCATGTCGCTACCACAAAAGACAAACGTCGTTCAAACCCTGGAAAACTATATCTCTGAGGAGACAGTTGAACTTTGATGTTTTTTTGGCACAAATAAAGGATTTAGTTAATTTTTTAATTTTTTCGTTAATTAGTTATTGTTAGTACTATAAATTATATTAAGAAGAGTTCCAAAAGCAGTGTTTGACCATCCCAGTGGGATGCGCCATGCATTCGACTTTATTAAGTATCGTTGTAGGTGGTTGAATGATTATCTGGCTTTTACAATGACTCGCGGTGGTCTACCGATGTATCGAGTCAGTGCTATTATCCTCCCAGACAAGTCTGGTACCAGTTCGCCGACTCCAAAGGAATTGGTGAGCTATAGGCATGGGGATCGATTCCACATGTGTGCTGCAGGGCACTTCCGGAAAACATAGCTATAGTTCATATTAATTCGGTGGTAACACATCTTATCGTTGGCGCCTTGTACTACGTTGAAACAACTGAATAATAGAAATTGGCTAATGTCACGAACGTGTTAATAAGGTGGAAAGTCCAAAGATCGCTGTGACCCAACAATGCCTGCCTTCGGCTTAGTTCATAGAGTCTCGTACTCTTTTCATATCAAGAAGTTCCAAGCTTTTTAGCGCTTTTTTCGCACAAATGACAAGGCGCACAAAATCTATTTAGGCTTTATGTATTCTTTCTTGATAAGCTTGCACGAGGTTGATAAATATATTTATTTTCGGCTAACGTTTCGACGTCTTCGTCTTCCTCAGAGCCGATGATCCGAGTCGATGGTCCATGATTGTTGTTCGTCTCGACGTTGCAGCTTCGCCTTCGTGTCGAGCCAAGTCTTCCTCAGTGAGCCATCTTCTCGAATGAGGCATCCTCACTCAGTGATGCCCTTTTATACACGATGCTGATGGTGGATATATAATGATAATGTCTGGTGGTAACAACTTGTGTTTCTTCCGGGCATACATCATTGCGCACATCGTGCAGAAGTCGGTGTTTTTATCAGCTAGCACAAAGCGTATATCGAAATATTTAGGCTTTCTAACACAAAGTACAAAAGGATATACTTTGGAAGAGTTGAAGTTTTGTATGAAAGTGTCCCCTGGCCAACCAGTGTGCAGAACACTAAAAGTTGGAACGATGTTTGTTGGAAGCCAAACACTCTTGGATTCGTTGGCTGGCTTCAGGTGCTTTATTTCAATTATGATTCTGCACCATGCTTCTCTTCCCGTTCTAGAAAACAAAACCATTATACATGTAGCAAATCTACGAAATTTTTTAGAACATATGCTTCAGCCGTTTTCATTGCTAGCGATCGCATTACAAGTGAAGGGATACTTCCTGGTTTGAGCCCTGAGCCCAATACCAATAGCCCCTTATTTAGATGAGGCCTCAGCACGTAGCGAAAACTCGAAAACATCGCTTTCCCACAGTTTTCACCATGGAGATAAACTCATTAGATTGGCGCTGACAAAAAGCAAGGCTTTAATAGATTGCATTTATAAATTTTATAGACTGATATATCGCACCCGTATATAGTTACACACGTGCGAAGATGAAGCAAATAGTGGATCGAAATTGAGAATTTGTTCTGCACCAGCATACCGATAAGTTCAACGTGGATTTTGAGTCGATCGCCAAAAGAGAAGAGACGGCGCGACTTTTGGTTCAAGCTCATGAAAAGAGTGGGGTGATCGGCTGCCTGAGTTTATCACGACTACCAAGACCATTCATGGTAACTTCAATTTCAGAAGCCCCGAAATCAACGCTGGACGTTGGTGTCTCTTAGTGGAGAGTGGCATAACGAAATAAACCACGTCATAGTGAATCGAAGGTTTTGCCTAACCGATGTCGTTGTCGTCCTAAAATTCTATACCGGATCAGACTATCGGGTCTTTTAGGCAGGATTTTATTTCTAGCGGAAAGAAGAAAAGCCGTTAAATTTAAAAAACGAAGTTTTAAAAAGTAGAAAATAACCATAAACTGAGAATTATCCAGTTCTTTATAACTTATCTGCTATTGGGAAGATATCGCTCTTCACAACGTCGGCGAAGAATGCGATCGGTTCATTAAGCATCCTCACGTTGGCACCATGAAACCTGAGAGTTTGGAAGTCACCAAGAAACGTTTGTCCCCAGAAACACTGGAGCTGATACGCCAGCGCGGAATCGCATGAGGTGCAGGCAACCGCGAACCAACGTTCGAACTTGCAAAACGCTGCGGACAGGCCGTAAAGAAAGATCTTAAAGAGAGAAGAGCAGCAGTAATGGCCGAAGCTGCAGAGTCTGGGAAAAACATTCGAAAAACACACCGAAGCTTCGCCAATTATAAAATTGTCGTACCAAATCTTTTTCCAAACCATCTTTGCTCAAGTGGTTGTCGTTCGTCCAGTTTTCTGTCAATCCTGCTTACTATGTCTCTAGTGAAGTTAGTGGACGACAGACAGTAATCACACTGAGTGATAGCTGCCAATATCGTAGAGGTCACCCTTCTTCAACATTTAGGATAGCTTTGCTGATTTTCCACTGAGTAGGAACGATGCTTCAAACAGCAAACGTGTAAACAGCCGAGCCAGCGTGTCTATGAGAGTGATTGGAAAGGCCTTGAAGTGTTCAAATTTTATCATTACCAGACCTCCTGTCGTTCAGTTCCTCACCGACGAAGTAGCATTGAGGATTTCGGAAAGGAGAACCGGAAGAATGACATTTCCATTTTCCGCTATTTCGTATAAGGAAATGAGGGCTTGGCTATCGAAGAGATTCAAGTAAAAGTCGTGAACGATTTTGTTGATTAACTTTCCGCAATGTGTAGCTGGGTGGTATCGGGGTGCAATTATCTTATTTTTGTAAGTGGCAATGCTTCAGTGAGCTTTGCCAATGCTCTTTCCAAACTCTGCAGATTCAACCATAACTGATCCTATTCTCTCGTTAAGATCTTCTTTCGTCGCCTGTCTGCATTATTTTACAAGCTCGGACGTGAAATTTCGGTTGCATGTAGCTCGCCCGTGCGATTCCACTCTGAACGATGAGTTCAAGTTTATTGGAGGCAGACATCTCTTGACAACTTTCGAACTTCCAGCTTTTAGCGCTAACGTGAAGATATTGGATGACACGATCGAATTTTTTGTCTATGTTATAAACAACGACAACTTTCCAACAGCCGACTAAGGAACTGAGGAAATCTCAGTTTGTGATAGTTTCCTTCTTTTTTGAGATTTCATTTTCTTGCTTTAGAATCTTTTTCTCCTTTAAGCTAGAAATTAAATCTAACACAAAAGAAGCGACGGTTTGACTCGTTTAAAATTTTGAGACAACAACGACACCGGTTAGCTAAAACTTTTGGTACACTACGCGATCTACTCCGCTATGGCACTATCCACTGGGAGATTCCCATGTCCAGCATGGGAATGGGATTTCTGGGATAGCGAGTTAATATGGATGGTCTTGGTCGTCATGACAAACTCAGAGAGCCGCTCACCCTGCTCGTTCCATTTTAATCCGCTGGTCCCAATGTGACGTTCTTCAGAGGTTTTTCTTGGCCCAATCTTGGCGTTAAGGTCTCCAGTGATAACCTTGAAGAATGTATGGTCTTCTCTGTAGAACTTCTCTAAGTCAATATAGAGCCCCTCGACTTCTTATTCGTCATAGTTTGATGTTGGAGTGTAAGAGATGAAGATTGTTAAAGCCAGCATTGATCCACATCTTTTTAATCGCAAACGTCCGATTCGAGTTGTAAGTTGTTCGAATAAACCGATGTTCATGGACAAACTCGTGTTGACGAGAACGCCGACGACACCGACTCCTCTACTGTCGCATGTTTCGAAGAACGGTTCTTTTCCGGTATCATAGACGGCGTTGAATAGGTGGGTCGTCTCGCCTGTTCCAGTCCGATCCTGTCGAACTTTTCTGTCTTACCTGAATGAGCAGCTTCTCTATTAGAGTATTGAGATGCAAGTGGGCGTTTGTTGCAGACACAAATAGTCACCTTAGTCCTTCGCGGTTTAGGCCGCCTAGAATGGCCCTGAGATTTTAGCGGGCTTTCCGTACTTACCCCACCCAAGACTGCCGTATAGGGGGTGCCATCGCGGCCCTCAAAAAAGCCTCTTTATTCAACTGTTTGGCTTTTTGAGACCTATATGTGGCTTACTGGGTTGTGAAGGTGGAGCTGGTTATACCCAAGGGTAGGCTGGCAGTGTCTCCCAGAGTAGATGGCGAACTTATTTGTTCGAGGCAGCTCATTATTGCCTCCAATATGCTTCCTTTTCATTCGATTTCAGCCTGTTGGGCGGATTGACTCGTAGAACACAAGCCGCATTAACGAAAACACACCCACGCACGCATCCTCGGCACATCAGAAACAAAAAGTTGATCCTTTGGACCCAACTGCGTCTAAAAGATGCATAAGGTCGCTTTTCGTCCGCGATTAACCCCATATCCGTCACCTCTGCATGTTCCTCGTTGTCTCGCGATTAACCGGCATGAAGTGTTTCTATGAGAGATTTACATGGAAAATGAATGGAAAAAGGAAAGAAAAATGGAATGTATTAAGGTTGCAAAAGCGCAAACCTTTTCTTGCTAATGACATGTAAGTGGTAGGAGGAAAGATAAGATATAAAACTATTTGCAATGTTAACTTTTCATTTACTGCCTATTATAATTCTTCATGTCAGCGCATTATGTCTGAAACAACCACAATCATTCTAAGATATTTGCAAAACTCCGAACCGCAGGTGTCTGCGGTGGGGAACGAACGCGCTATTGTCCTTTCTGGGAGTAACGCGTTCACCATCACACAACGCGCGTCCTTCGTTTCGCCTATCTCTCCGTTAGTTCTATCGATAAAGCTATTTATTTTCCGAACATTCTCATATAAAAACGTGTGGGATTGTGCTCTGTGGCAGCGTCAAAAAGTTCCACGTGGCGACTACTCTTGCAAAATTAAGCATTTCTCTTCGAACTAGTGGTTATTTTGTTCTGACGGCTAACTTAAAAAGATATATTACATTGACCGCCATTAAAGAACAGTACTAAGGTATATAAGATTGAAGGACTTCGAAGG